TTTTCTTTACATAAAACTTTCTCTTATATATGAGTTGCTGTGGATTTGTTTCTCCAAAGTACCTAGACTAATACAGTTGCTAACCAAAAGGTTAGCAGTTTGAAACCACCAGCTGCTCTGAAGGAGAAAGATGAGGCTTCCTTCTCATGCAGAATTAAAATCTTGTAAACCCAGAGGGGCAGCTGAACCCTGCCTGATAGGATCGCCATGAGTTGGAATCAACTCGATGGCAGTATTTGTTTTGCTTTGAAATCTTTATGGCAGTAGGTCATTCTCCCGTGGACTGCTGAGTATGTTCTAACCATTGTGTGACCAGGGCTCCTTAACAATTCCTGGAAACTGGTTGCCATCAAATTGATTGACCCACAAGCAAATCTACTGCCGTGGAGTTGATTCCCACTGAGTAATTCTATAGGACAGAAATGAACATCCCTACAGGGTTTCTGAGGCTGTATATCCTTATAGAAACAGAATGAGCATCTTTCTCCTATGGAGCAGCAAGTGGATTTGAACCACTGACTTTTCGGTAAGCTGTTGAGCATTTTAACTGCAGTGCCACCAGGGCATCTGAGTAATCCTGTTGTTGGGTGCCAATGAGTTGGTTCTGACTCACAGCGATCTACAGAATAAAACATTGCCCATTCCTTCACCATCCTCACAATCGTTGTTTGAGTCTGGCTGTAGCTACTGTCTCAATGCCGTCTCCATGACGGTCTTCCTCTTTCTCACTAATCCCTCCAGGTTATCAAGTACACTGTCCTTTTCCAGGGGCTGGTCTCCCCTGATAACATGCCAAGTACATGAGACAGTTTCTTCACCTCAACTGTTTCAGTAGCATTCTACTTGTGCCTCTTCCAAGACAGACTTCTTGGTTCTGTTGGCAGTCCATGGGGTTTTCAACAGTCTTCGCTGACACCATCATTCAAGTGCAGATTCTTCTCTGGACTTCCTTGTCCATTGTCCAAGAAGCCCTGGTGGCACAGAGGTTACATACATGTTGGGCTGTAATCTGCAAAGTAAGCAGTTGAAACACCAGTCACTCCATGGGAGACAGTGCTGTCTACTCCTGTAAAGAATTAAAGTCTCAGAAACTCAGAGGTAGCTTACTCTACCCTATAGGGTGACTAGAATCAGCTTTGACTCTAGGGCAGTATGTTTCTAATAATTATTCACTACCCAACTTTCACATACCTATGAGACAAGTGGAAATAATATGGCTTGGGTCACATGTAACATAGTTCTGAAAGTGATGTCCTGACTCTTCAACACTTGTGATTTGCCCAATGCAATACATCATTTAATATTTTGACTGCTGCTTCCATGAGCATTGATTGTGGATACAAGCAAAATGAAATCCTTAACAATTTGAATAGACAAAACCTAAAATACTGACATTGAGTAAATTCTGACTCATAGTAAGCCTATAGGACAGGAAACTGAGCAGCAACAAAGCCCACATGGAAGAAGCACACCAGCCTGTGTGATCATGAGGTGTTGATAGGATCAGGTATCGGGCATCAAGGACCCAGAACAAAAAATCATATCATTGTAAATGAGGGGGAGTACGGAGTGGAGACTCAAAGCCCATCTGTAGGCAACTGGACATCCCCTTAGAGAAGGGATGCAGGGAGGAGACGAGCCAGTGTGCAGTATAGCACCGATGAAACATACCATATATACTTGTGTATAAGCCAAGTTTTTCAGCACATTTTTAATGCAGTTTTTGTGGTAAAATTAGGTGCCTCAGCTGATATTCGAGTCAGTTATATACAACTTTCCTCTAGTTCTTTAATGCTTCCTCCCCACCATCATGACCCCAATTCTACCTTACAAATCTGGCTAGACCAAAGCATGTACATGGGTACAAACAAGAACTGGAAACACAGGGAATCCAGGATAGATAACCCCTCAGGACCAAGATTAAGAGTAGCCAGACCAGGAGGGGAAGGGGAAAGTGGGGGGAACTGGGGGAACCAATCACAATGATCTACCTATAACCCCCACCCAAGGTATGGACAACAGAAAAGTGGGTGAAGGTAGTTATCAGTCAGTGTTAAGACATGAAAAAAAAAATCTTTAACTTATCAAGGGTTCGTGAGGGAGGGAAAGTTGGGGAGGGAGGGGGAAAAATGAGGAGCTGATACCAAGGGTTCAAGTGGAAAGAAAATATTTTGAAAATGATGATGGTAACAAATGTACAAATATGCCTGACACAATGGATTGTGGATTGTGATAAGAGTTGTACAAGCCTCCAATGAAATGATTTAAATGAAAACAAACAAAAGAAAATTATGATGGCAACAAATGTACAAAAGGGCTTGACACAATGGATGGATGTATGGATTGTGATGAGTTTTACAAGCCCTGAATAAAATGATTTTAAAAAGGGGTATATTAGGAGGGGATAATGGGGAGTTAATAGCTCAAGGAGTTCAAGAAGAAAATGTTTTAAAACTGATTGTGGTAGCAATTGTACAATACTGTTTGAGGTGATGAAACTATGGAATGTTTATGATATCTGTAAGAACTCCCAATAAAAGGATTAAAAAAATTAAATAAAAAAAAACGTACCATGGATTGCCAAAAGAACAAACCAACTTGTCTTGGAAGAAGTACAGCCAGAGTGCTCCTTGGAAGCAAGAATGGCAATATTCTGTCTCATGTATGTTGGATATGTTATCAGGAGAGACCAGGACATATCTGGTAAAGTACAGGAGCAGCAAAAAACAGGCAGACCCTCACCAAGATGTACTGACACATTGTACAATGGGCTCAAACAACAATTTTGAGGATGGCAAAGGACTGGGCAGTGTACTGTTCTGTTGTACAAAGGGTTACTCTGAGTTGGAACTGACTCAACAGCATCTAATAATAACAACCACATCATCTATCAAATATACTCATTCAAATGATTCATTTCCCCATAGCTGAAAAATTCCATGGGGTTGATTTTCTCAAGGAATATGATCTATCGAATCAAACCAGCATTTATTTAGTGACCAAGACACCTACAGTTAACATTTCTCAAAGTGGGGTTATTTGGTTATATTTTGAGGAATATTGTGAACAACATGGTGAATATGCTCCATTTCCTGAAGCATAATGTTTATTTGAAATTAAAGAATTACATACTTTTCAAAAATTTTTTTAAACGGAAGCCTTTCTCATCTCCAAACCACACAGAACCCCAATATATAAAAAAGCTCCAAGGAAACCATGTTGGCATAGCACTTGGCTAATGGGAGCTCTCCTTCATATATATCTTGGAAGCAGCTGTCTTCTCCCTCTGCCAGTGTCTTCCCAGGGAAAACTGAGGAGCAAGCACCTCTTGTTGCTTGGCATATCAAGCCTCACTGCCTTTCAATCTCTAATTCAAAGACTGGGCATCCTGCCCAGGACAACCAGTCTATACAGCAGCCCAAGTCATCAAGGTTGTGCCAACCAGGCTCATCCTCTTTCAGGTAAACTGTTGGCATTCGATGCGCTAGAGTTCAGCTCTTTACATCTAAAAGGTTCTGGCTTTTCAGTTGCTTTAGTTACAAGACATTTCATCAAATGAATACTTCTTGGGTTAATATAGCACTTCTGGTATCTCCATTTTTAATTACAGTAAACAGTAATAGATCTTCCCAAGCTTGCAAAATTACTGAATGTCCCATATGCTGTCTTCCCCTAATGTGGATTCTGAATACTTTGGTTCTTTTCCTTCTCTTTATATTCTTCTAGTCGAAGAAGCCACTTAGACCAGTACTGAGAGCAGAGTTCTGTGTCCATGATGTGTGGGTGGGCAGGGGTCCCATCTTTGTAAGCCACCACAATTAAGCCACACTGAACCTGAAAAAAGAAAACACAGGCACTTTCAGTATTTTCACATTCGGTCCCAAATGTATGGTACTTTTCTTATTCTAGAGTGAGCCGAGTGAGAGCAAAGCAATCTATGCTAATATATCTCCTAATTCAAATTTAAGGCAGCTTGGTAGAAGACTACACCAGGTTACATGAAAACACAGATTACAGAGAAGACACTTAAGAATGGAGTGTGGTCATTAAAGATTAAAAATAAGATGAATCCAAGAATAGGGGTAAAATGGTTCAAAGTCCAGGAGAAGCATATGCAATAGGATGAAAATAGAGGAAGCCCTAAGAAGTTTAGCAGCTATAAAGAAGCACTGAAAACGACTTTTAAGTAAGTAGCTCAACATCTTGACCTGAAAGCTATAACTTGCATCATGGTTTACGGCACCAATGTAGGCCACAACTTGCAACGGATTGTCAAATGTATTTTGGATAAAAGGCTTCGGTTTCTCTGATGTCTTCCAGTCAATCACACACAGCTTTCCTCTAAAGAGAAACCAAAGGAAGTCTCTGTAAGTAACAATTCAAATTAAAAGCGCTTTTAGAAACTGTCCCCTGAAGTACACAGGGAGTTATTGGTGTGACTCACATGGGGATGCTGGGAAATCTTCCTACAGTTCCTGTTTCCAAACTTCCTCACAATGCCTTTGGACTGCCAGTTGATTTTGCCTCATCAGAGTGCAAAACAACAGTA